TTGGAGAGAAAAAAAAACAAATAAATAATAGCATTGCCATTCAAAAAGTCTAGAAATCAAGCTATCAATATGCTTGTTTAAATTTTAGCGTATAAAAGGAAATACCTGTAAGATCTTGACACTTATTCAATTTGTTAGAACAGCCGTCTTTATCATGATGCTTTGCATGCTGAAAGATTTATTCAATAATAAATACACATACCGCTGTGATCATCAAGATCCTCCTCAGCAGAATAACACGATACGAGGACAACACCAATGATAATTAAAGGGTTGATTGTGGGTCTTCTAATCATTTTCTCCATCCCGCTACAGGATTGAATGAGACAGAATCAATAAAACACCTAATTTATATTCAGGAATTCTGAAGATTTCTTGTCTGTTTCAATATAAAAATATTTAAAAATCAATAAAGAATTTTTAAAACCTACTGCAAGTAAACTATTGCAATTTCTGTATAAAACAGCTATTTTCTATTATCAACACTACTTAATAAAGGATAAGCATAAAGAGCGTCAGATATATGTTGCATACCCTTGTGTTGAAATAAATTTAGGATACGTGTGCAAGATGAAATAAAGAACAAGGTACGCTTTCAATACAAAACTTGCCCTGTGTTTTTCTTAAAAATGAAAGTGATGTAAAAAATTAAAACTCATGCTTTCTGAATCATTGAAATTCCATGCAGAAAGATCATACAAATTATTTTTCTCACATGACCTTCTAAATGCTAATTCATAAACTTGCATTTCCCCGTATTTTCTTAAAAAGTTGCAGAAGACACCAATTTTCAATGGAATTTTCTTTCATAGAATATTGTCCACAGGCATCGCCCAAAAGGTTTGAGATATGTAATTTTTCAAAGAATTTTGCACATCATATCCGAAAATTAAAGTGAGTGACGGCTGTGGACACTATTTTCTTACGGAAAATAACCCTTGAAATTGGTCATTTGGGGGCTTTTTCTGTTCAAGATAGAGAAATGCATCAAATTAATGACGTCATATTTCCAGAATGGTACTTCGTCATGCCATATTCCTGATTTTCTTAGTCATATACCCAACTTATATTTAGGCTTGTTTTAAAACTTTTTTTAAAACATTGAATTTTGGAATTGAACATTGAATTTTTTAAAGTTAAAACCATACCTTCTTCGTTATGTACATGTATCTAAATGAAATATTAATGCGAATTTCTGTTTAAAATATATTCTTTTCAAAATATCACATTATAAACCTAAGTCTGCGCTTTTAAACACAGTACCTAATAAAAATATATTTTTCCAATTCTAAAATAAATAAACTTCTATGTCTACCTAAATTAATGACATGTACATTGATGACGTCACCTTGCTGACGTTGACATGCAGAAATAAATTGATTTGTAGATACAAAATATGGACTCTTGGAATGATACCTGCTGCAGCTCTTGAGACACATGTGAGAATCTGTTGAAGATTTTATTTCATACAAACTTTTGATTAGAAGTTGTAATACTGCAAGAATAAGGACCGAGGAATCATGAATCCTACACTGATTCTATGTAGGGCAATAGTGCTACTTGTAGATATCCATTGTAAGTTATGCGCTTATAGTATAATGTACGAAAACATTATTGAAAGTGGATAGACTTCCCTGCATGGGCAGAGGAATCCTGCACCACGATGTTAATTATTAGGACTAACATTACCTATGAGAACAATTTGGGGAAGGGGAAGTGTGTTAACATCCGCCACCGCAGTAGCCAGCAGCATGATAGTTATAATAAATATCTTCTTGCTTTTAACAAACATTTCTTCTCAATATGATTTATTTTATAATGCAAGAATTTTCACAAATAGTTACATCTTGAGGAGGGGGATTATGTCAAAATCGGAAGTGCTTTTGATAAGGTATACTCATGGATAGAGCATAGATTTAGTATCAACACCACGTATGAGATAAAAAAGAATAAAGCAAGCCCCATTGAATTGGTATCTTGTGTCACGACTGAGTGAGCATCTCCTGTCGACCGGTAACAACCCCTTTAACCATTGGTCTTGATGGGAAAAATCAGTGTGAAAAAATGGCTTAATAACTTGCATTAAATAAAACGTCGACCTAACGACATGTTGTATACAAACTAGGTCATTGTAAGGGCCATAGAATTTTAAAAATATCAACATTACACGCTAGTTAAATCAACTTTTTTGTCAGCAGCCTATCTCGATTACTAGTTCTTCCTAATCTGGACAATGAACACTATTTGCAGGTGACAATTGTATATTTCTCAATAAATAATGAAAGTTAACTACAAAGGTTTATCATAAAGTTCTGTTGTAAGGTCGCTCTCTAAGAAACATCAAAATATGAAACGTGTTCAGAGTGTTTAAATTTCAAGTTCAGGATGATTCAATGTATGAATGAAATTGAATACTGTTCATTGATAAAATGGCTTCTAACCAGATAGCATGACTTTGTAGGGTCAACATAGGCCAACGTGGCAAACAATGTTGGCCCAACGTTATTTTGTTCATCGGTTCTACGTGGGCCAAACGTGTAGGACCTAAACTGGCCCAACAATGCTAGACGTTGGCCCAATGTTATTTTGTTCATCGGTTCTATAGGCCCAACCTGAATGGCCTACATTGGTCCAACGTGTAGAACCCATCGGCTCGTAGGCAAACAATGTTCATGTACGGCCAACGTTAGCCCATTATTTTTTTCCCTTTGGTCATACAATAATTCACTATTTACTGTTACAATTTCATTTTATCATGAAAGAGAGGTGTTTGAAAGATAAGTTCTATAAACATGTTGGCAAATGATCGGCAATCAATTATACATATTTAGCGAAAGCCTGTCCACTTCTCTAAAGAGAATAGTTCAACAATATGAATTCCTGCAACCCCTTTTTTTATTTCCACAACAATGAATACAGTAGAATTAACTGAATAAATCCGGGTATTTAACTATTCCTCAAACTATTTTTTTTTAAATTTGTCAATCCTATGAAATGAAATCAACACAGGGAAATGAAGGTAAAACGTAGTTGTTTTCTCAAGTATATTCCATATCACTACTATCATTACATTATATTCCTCTAGAATAAGAGTCCCCGAATTCAAATTTGTGAAATTTTGGAATTTCTCCTGTCCGGCCACGCCCTCTTCCAAGGGGTGATAATTACAATTAGTGAAAAATTAATGGCATTTAAAAAAAATTCCTCTCAAAATCACTGGGCCAGGAAAAACAGGAAAAATGAAACTTATGTGGAATCATCCTCAGGTAGAGTACCCGCGGGTAGGGTGGGCCTCAGTTGACGATCAAAGTTTTAGAAATGAATATATAGGAAAAATCTTTTAAAATCTTCTTATCAAGATCAGCAAAGTCATGATTCGTCATATTTATATGGAAGCATTTTCAGGTAGTGAAGATTCAAATTTGTTCAAATCATGACCCCCGGGGGTAGGGTGGGATCACAATGGACGATCAAAGTTTTACATGATAATATATATGAAAGATCTTTAAAAATCTTCTTCTCAAGAACAGCAAAGCCATGATTGGTCATATTTATGTGGAAGCATCCTCAGGTAGTGTAAATTTAAGTTTATCAAATCATGATCCCCGTGGGTAGGATGGGTCCACAGTGGATGGTAAAAGTTTTAGATATGAATTTATAGGAAAATTCTTTAAAAATCTTCTACTCAAGAACAGCAAAGTCATGATTGGTCATATTTATAAGGGAGCATCCTCAGATGGTGTAGATTCAAGTTTGCTCAAAACATGATCCCCGAAGATAGGGTAGGGCCATAATGGATGATCAAAGTTTTATATAGAAAAAATCTTTAAAAATCTTCTTCTCAAGAACAGCAAAGTCATGATTGGTCATATTTATATGGAAGCATTCTCAGATAGTGTAGATTCAGATTTGTTCAAAGTTCAAACTTGTAGGGAAAATAGCCACAGTTAGTCAAAGAAATATATTAGTGTATATTCAATTCTGTTCAAATCATACCCCCCCCCCTCCTTTTAGGGGTAGGTCAGGACCATTTATGCATTTAAGTTTTAAAATACTAAACTGATTTTTGCTTTTTTCTAGCACCAGTATTTACATACAAGTAGGGTTTACATTTCTTTCAGATTTACATTGAAAATGAAATATAAGATAAAAAACATGAAATATTAATGCAAGGTTCCATAGTGCAGTTTACTGATACATCAGAAATATTATATACATGTAGCTCTTCTATTTAATTACAGTAAAACACACTTATATTTATGTCCCAGAGACGGAAAATTTTGCTTTGTTTAAAGTGAAATTCGTTATATCCGTTAAGTGTTCAATATACTAGTATTTTAAAGTCAAGGGGAATGAAAATTACTTTGCAATAAACGTCGATTTATTATTTATAAGCGTGTACCCTTTTAGCGTGTTTTACTGTATATAGAATATAGCAAAGTGATGCATTTCATTGCAGATATTTGATTTTCTTCACTTGTCTGTTTCCATACTGAGCTACAAACAGATTGTCATTTGTGTCTGTACACATTCCCCATGGATAACTCAGTCCACAGTCTACGTAACAGAGGAATTGTCCATCCTGGTCTATGATGTGGACACAGTGATTGTTAATATCAGCTGTAAGGATGTCTCTGATTGTCTGTGGTGATTCCATGTGGAATGAATAGTTCAATTTCTGAAGCAGGAGTATGTCCAGTGTACCTGAATCTCAGTTTCCCGGCCTGATTGACCACCACTTCTGCTTTTTGTCTACTGTCAGACACACAGATATCCAGGTTCTTGTTCTCAGTAATGTATCTAAAACAAAGAGAGTCAGGAGAATAGAGAGGTAAACCTTTATCATCAAACTGAAAAGTTTGTTTTTCTGTTGAGCCAGAGTAACGGACAACTTTTGTTTGTTTGCCATCATCACTATTACTGTACATGATAACTAGAAGGTCATCAGAGGAGGTACTACAGACACCCTCAGGTTTCCAGCTCTGTAGTCTGATCACCTCCTATATCTTCTCATTCTGCACAATGTTCACAGTTCCATCCATGTAATCAGTATATACTAAATCTCCACTTTTTGACACAGCTATGTTAGATGGTTGGTCCAGTGACTTGGTTCTGTTTGACTTGAGTAATAATCCCAGATTGATGCTGTAGAGTTTCATGTTGTTTTCATCTCCACTTGTCCAGATTTCTTCATCGCTCAGACAGGCCACATTGTAAAGTTCTCTATACTCAGTGTCAATGGTGGTGATAGTTTCTGGTTCATCAAGCAGTTGTTTTACTGGGGGAGAGGATCCAGCTTCTGGTGATTTCTGTGTAGCTTTTATGCTGTAGCCATGTTCCTCTGAAATTATTGAACCAGATGATAAGGCTCCAAACAATTTACTTAGTTCTTCTACTTTGATATTTTCTATGTTGAATATAGGTAATGATGGCGTTATTTTGTTTGGAAGATTTCTGTATATATGTTCATTGGATGGGACACTAAAAAGTTTGGACAAGTCATTGGTGTCTAGAGCTATTTCAACTAAATTGATTTCATCCTTAATGTCAGACATTTTCTTGTTTATTTCATCCAGGTGTTTCTGTAGAATTTGTAACTGTGTGTTTTTTCATCTCATCAACTTCATCTTTAAGTTTCTTGACAAGTTTGTCAACTTCTCTGTGCCAGTCCTCTCCATGTTTTTGTTATGGTGGTTGGGTTGAGAGATCTCCATATTCCTTTTCTATCTGACTTATTCTCTTTTGTACATCAGAGTTATCTTTTAATTCATTTTGTTCTTTTATAATCATTTCCTTTTTTTCATTGAAAACTTCCAAGATTTTAGATAATTCATGACCAAAATGTTGATTAGATGCAAGGCAGCTAATGCAGAGAGGATGTTACATTGATTACAGTATATTTTACATTGTTCTTTGTAATGAGTTTTACACCCAGGGTGGAGGGGAGAGGATTTTCTTCCCTTAAAGTCAACAATCTTGTGAGGTTTTGAGAGGTCAGTAGAAAAGTGTTTTCCAACACAAGCGGTACACAGGTTGACAAGGCATATATCACAGTGATCTGTACCACAGCGGTCTCACAAAGGTCACATCGCATCATGCCCTTGGCACTGGTACGGGGGTCCATCATTAGATTTTTTCCGTCCTGTCCACTAATCCAAGTGCAGTCTATCTCTATGTACTCTGATCACATGACACACCTGTGTTAGTTGCCTGTCAGGTGTTTATACTTCCTGGTTTAGGAGGTGATTTAAATACCTGAAATGCAATCCCCTTTGCAATCCCAAATCTATTTTATAAAGATGATTGAATGTCAATTTTAGAGCCCTATATACACTGCACACTAAAGAGTTCTGATTCGTGGTACTTTTATGCAAATAGAGTAAACTGTCCTTTCATCTAGAATAAATAAATTAAAATGTACACTTTATTACTTAATTTGTGATCAAATCAAGCATTCATGACATTTTAATAAACCAAGATGAATAAGATTGAACAATTCATTTAAAACAGTTATATCTGTTCATTGTTGTGTTCATTGCCTTTGAACATTTTCCTGAGGGTAATTGCAAGTTATCATATGCTGAAAATATAAAGATAAGCTCAATATCTTTATGCCTTTACACGCTATAATTTTCTCAATGTCCTAAAAAAGGGTCCACAATAGGGGGTTCAAAATTTTGCATGGAACTATTTTAGAACTTTTTTTTTAAAATCTTCAAAGGAAACACAATAGAACCTTTTCTTGCAAATATGATCAAGTTGTGTGGATTTAATTTTTTTCAAATTTGTATGGACCCCAGGTTAGAGTTCACTAAAATCAGGATCATGCATAATGCCAATAAACAGGAAAAGAAATGTGTAGATTCACAGATCCTAAAAATTAAGGTGGGCCATAATACACAATTTTTCATTAGAAAACAAAAGTCTTTGTAAAATTTTAAGAACAGCCTAACTAAAGTAACTCAGGTGAGCATTGTGGCCCATGGGCCTCTTGTTTTCTGTTCATGTAATTGTTGTTTCTTTCTTTATAAAATCCATGTCTCTAGCACTCACTGTCTCTTCCATTCCAAACATCAATGGTCTTGTAACATAAAGCGTTTTCTCCCCATCAGATACTGTACTATAAAGGATATAAGAATATGTATCAGTTCAATCCATTCAACAATGATTTCCCTTATTAGTTATAACTTAACCATACTGCTTGTAAATTATTCTCTATATTGAGAGGTTGATGGCTCGTTTTAATTCTCCCCCTCAAGGAGTAATAAAACGAGCCATCAGCTAGTAAATATATATGCATATTTTAAAACAAATGTTATTTTGAATATATAACTTGTCCAATTTAAAAAAAAATATACGCTCAAGTTAAAACTTTCACATAAAATTCTATCAATCACATATAAATCAACTATACTTACAATTCAAGGGCTAAAACAATCCATTTTCTTTTTTCTTGCGTTTCAAAACCGATGCATATGCTTTGTTCAAGTGTTAATTGTAAGTGATAAGATGTGACCTCTCTGAGTTTGCACAGAGCTGATTAAGATGCCTGTTTCCTAAGAAACCGGCTAGTCACCTGCTGAGCCAGTAAATTTTTACCACTGACCTAATTATTTGGAGCTTTAAAGTACAGCACTTTTAGTTCCATGATGCTAAATATAGAATCTACAAATTATATACTGTGCAGAAAAAAACTTTTACATGTATTTGTAATGGTACCGGACATTATAATATAACAAACATTAAATATCATTAAAAGTGTTATTTTCATAGATTAGATTCTAGAATAATTTTTCATTTTTATTAAAACAATAAACATTTATTGAATTATCAATAAATGGGTTAATGAGTTAAATCCCTCTTTTATACTATTTTAACTAAAGGTGAATTGTCTCTGAACGAGCCATAAATAACAGATCACCTACATGTATGTTGATGAAAAGTGCTTTCCTTCCCAATATTTACTCCGTTGAATCAATGCTGGTCCATCGTTGAAAGTCCTATCGATGACCCTATTGAAATCAACCTTTACTAAGTTGGGCCAACATTGGATTAACATTACATTCCCAACACACATTGGCCATGTTTCTTGTCTGGCCCTATGTTTGGCCAACATATTACATCCCAACACACGGTGGCTTTGTTTTATGCCAGCATCTACTCGGTTTGACCTACGTTGAGCCAACATTAAATACCCATCATAAAGTGGTCATGTTTAATAGCAACATTTACTACAATGGACCAACATTGGCCCAACATCGCATAACCAACACCGACAGACCAGTTTTGACGCCAACATATCATCCGTTGGACCAATGTTGGGCCAACATTTACCGCCCAACGCCAACACCACACCAACCTACCAACCATTAACCAACGTTGGTCCGATGTAGTCTTGTTATCTGGGATATATACATTTAAATATCAAATTGAAGATCGCAGAAAGAGAATTCTTCTTTTCATGTAAAGGTTTAATGCAAGAAATATTGCTTCTTAAATATACATTTTATGACATCAAATTTTCTAAAAATTCGTTGGAGTTTATAAGTATCCGCATTTCAATAATGCAACTTCTCCAAAATGTGGTTACATAGTACTTCTGATTATTTTTCCTTAAAATTCATTGCTGATATTTTATGAGGGGTATAAACAGAGGCTTGGTATATCAAATACTAGACCTCGCTGAGGGTAACATGAAGGTAACATTTTGGAAGCCAGCGCGGTAATTAATACTAATTAAATCTGGTTGTTGAGAATATTGAAAGAAGCTGAAATAATACTATGTTGTTGAAGAATCTCTTCCTTCGAAAGGAATCATGACTAAGATTAAGTTTGATTACCACTGACAGAATTAAATCCAAGTTCCTGTACAATGCAGTTATATATAAAAATGAGACTTACGAACAAAACAAATAATTATCTTAATGACAATTACAAGTACATATTACCATTTCTGATGTTAAAATATTTAAAATATTGATTCAGTTATGCTTATTGGTTTCAGTGTACAAATAGCAAGAGATCAAGGGACTATTAAACAAACGAGAACTTTCTGATGTTAAAATTTTAGATATTACCAAATTAAAAGATTTAAATAACACTTGTTAAGTCAGATTAAACTATGTGCAGATTCAAAGATTTTTAACACTCTGTACAAATATGTTTAACGATATTAGAAAAAAAATACTACTAAAGTAACTATATCTGGTTTTTAAAACTTTGTAAGCAATTAAATAAAGGAAAAGTATAAAGACTAATTTGACTGTAGGCAAATTTTTTTTTTAAAAATCGATAAAAAATAATCCACATCCCGCATTTGCTCTTAGAAAGGGAAAAATAAATAAAAGAATCATGAGGAAGTAATTAAAGTACAATTAACATCTAGAATATCATATTACATGATTACTTTTCATCTTCACTGATGTTTTAATAGTAGTCTTAAAAAGATAAAAACGAGTGCATTGTAAACTGTCGTAAAAACCGCGTCTCTTTGAAAATTGCAGATGTAACAAGGAAAATATTAAAAAAAAACATTCTTTTAAATTGTCAGAAATGTTAGTTTATCAAAGGTAATGAGAGTATTTAGAGAACGTTAAACTACAGAAAAAGGAAAAGTAATAGAAAAATAAGGACTTGCACTTTAGTCCTAGAATTCATATGTTTTGTGGCAAAGGTATTCCGAACCGAAAAGCTTGAAATACGGGTAAAGAATTTTAAATCTTATAAACTTTGAACACTTTTCAACATTGCCTATTAATTTATTTGGACAAAACGTATGTAGAAGAATAAATAGATTATCCATTCGAATTTTTTGGTATCTTTTAATAGAGAAATGTTGCTTTAGCACAGCATTTATTATTCAAATTTATATTTACACAATTAATAGTTTTTGGTTTTTATTCTCAAAGTTATCTTTTGAATTAACAAACACGATAACACAAGGAATTACAATTTATGTAAGAAAGAACAAAGGCAAAATCTACATTTTCACCTATGATAAGCACTTCAGCAGTTTAAAAAATATAAAATATATTTCCATGATTTTTTTTACATTATCTTTTATCTAAAACTCCAAATACTCGTATGTAGCAAGCCTCCTAACAACGAAAAAGAGGAGGATAAAAAGTTTTTACAGAATATGTTGTTATCAAGGTTTACCAACTAGTATTACTGGTAGGTTACTTAAAATATGAACTATGTAAAAAAGTATTAAACAAGGTAAATTGATAAAAAAGTAATCTACTTTTAAAACGCTACCAAAGCATTTTTCTATATGAAAAATAATGCCAAAATTCCTCGTCAAAATAATCAATGATAAATGTAATTAATATAATATCAATTAAAATTGTTCTCTTAGTAATTAGGAGAGACATCTTCAGGAAGTCTTTTCTTCCGCCACATTTTATCCTTTTATTTGAGATAATGATTGGTGCTACTCTTTCCTTTGATTCATTATTCAGGAAACGATTACTGAGTGGCAGCACCAGGAATACTAAGAGCTAGAAATTAGGTAAAAAACATAAAGGATAAAATTTACAACAAAAAATAATAAATAAGGGATAAGCAATAGTTTTGTTAATGGGGGGAAAAGGTTCGATTGTACTCTTTTGTACTCTTAGCATCTATCATTTATGGAAAGTTTCCTAGTAAATTCTAAATCCAATAATAGAGGGAAATTACAATTGTTCTTATGCATTTTTTATATCTCATGCACAGCAAATTATCGTTCAATATGTTGTTAAAAAACTCACCAGAATGAGAAACAAATAACCGATATTTTGTATTCTTACATAAAGTTTACATGTGTCGATTTTATATAAAAAAAATTGAATATTAGGATAACGTTTTAGAAAGTGTTTATAAATAAATCAACATACATACAAACAGATACTTGACCCTGTTGTGACCGTTACTTTGGCTTTCATTTTTACCTTGTTATGCATCATTCTTATACGTACGTTAACCCAGAGATTGTAAAACATGTTGAATTGGACAGGCATTAAAATATTGAAATATATTATTGTGAAACTATACAAATTGATTTTTTTAATGATTGCGATGTTGTTAATGTGTATCCAATAATTTTCAAAAGAAACGAAGCAAATTATGACAAAGACAAGCAATTTTCATGATATATGTATTTAAGTGCGTGTTGCATTAAGTATCACGACCACATTGAAGTAAAATTTTCTTTGCCAGTTATATTCCCTCAAAGCTCTTCTCTTAAAATGTAGGTACTTTTTTAAAATCACTTACTGAAGAAGAGACTAAAAAGATGAATAAATAAGTAAATAAACAAACAGTAAACAAATAAATAAAAATTGATAAAACGAAACATTACATGTCAGCAGAATCATTCAATCTTTAGTGAACAAAATCCGGAATACTGATATGATAGAATTTTTGGATGAAAATATTATAACTAAATTAATGAAAGAATTAACTCTCCAAATCAAGTTAGATATATGACGAAATCCCTGAAGCTTCACAGACGTGAAATTGCTTAAAGATCTCTTTTTGTAGTTATATGCAACCAAAAAATCTTCATTAACATTTCCTATACTCATTATGTTCATTTGATGATTATTTCATATGATTGACATGTCTACTGACAACAGAAAAGATTCGATAAATTTAAATCCTTTTCGCTAAGAATTCTCAGTAGCACATTTGTCTTCAGAACCACTGCAGATGAAGATGATGTTGGTCATTTGGTGGTGGTTTATTCTTATTTGCACAGTTTCATGTGGACTAAGTGAGTTGTATACAGGGAAGGACTACGCGTCAGGTGAGTACGTTTTCTGTTAATTTGTTTTGCCTAATGCATATCTATAGTGGCCATCTTAAGTGACATAAAAAAGTTGAACTACACCAGTATTCCGTATACTTTTCGGTTGAAGGTTGATCATGATAAAAAATTACACTTTAATGTGGCATAAAATTTAAAAAAAATATTAATGAACATTCCAAACTTAGCAACCTTGTTTGAGCTAAATTTATCCTTGACCGTGTGTCCAATTGATTGAAGCTAGAGAGATCTAGAGCAGGAATTGACCATGTGTCAATTCCCTTGAGGTTGGAGATATCTAGAGTAATTCAAATAATTTATTATATAAAATGTTTCATTCCTTCAAATGGTGAAAAATGACACGATAATACTATCAGTAATAATGCTCAAAAAGTCAATGAAAAAATACAAAATTGTGAGCATATCAAACAGACTTCTGAAAACAAAGGTGAGATCAGGTGCCATGGAGGAGTTAGCATCCCCTGTCGACCAGTCACGTACCTCGCTGTGTGCCCCTTGTCATAATGAGGTAAATGGAAAAATCCATCCACAATTCAGTTTGAAAATAATGGCCAAACAATTTGTAGACGCCATTCAACATTTGACTTAACAATAGATTGCATTTGCAAACTAGGTCGTTATATCGATCATTACGTTTGAGAAATGTTGACTTAAACAAGATTATTTATATCCTTGTATCGACTACTTTTTGTCCGTAGACTGCCTGTCTTAGAAACTGTTCGTTCAAATAGCATTCTTTTGCGTATCTAATGATCTCGGATTATTATGGAATGCCTGGGCAATTAAATAGCACGATTAAAGACAAAAATATCTACCGAAACAACATATCATGACACATTTTGGTGACATGTATTAGGTAAATGATATTTCGGGCCTGATATCCAAGAGGGGTCAAGTGTAAACAAATGGAAGTGACTTACCTTCTCTATTTTATAATACCGCGGGTCTGATTTTTTAGTAAAACGTTAATTCTGCGTTATTTTTTGGATATTTCTTTTGGAATACATTGTAAATGTGCACTAGAAGAATAATTTATGAAGAAAATACATAAAATATTTTTTTTACCTGTGGGGTATATTCGGAGGGGGGGGGGTCCTGTCCACAAGTACCTGTGCTTAGGGCAAGTCTGACCGGTCGACAGGGGATGCTTACTCCTCCTAGGCACCTGATCCCACCTCTTGAATTTCCGGGTATTATGCCTTGTTAAAAGATTTGTATTGTTTGTATGTTTTTGTAGATCGATCACTGTTTGCTATCTTCACCTATTCATTTGCAAAATCATACATATTTTTTTAAACTTGCGATTTGACTCTTTTATCTCCAGAGAATTTTTTTCAGTCAACTGTGATTTTGAGAACGGTACATGTGGATGGACGTGGCAAAAGAATACGGTAGCTCTCAATAAAATGACACCCATGTGTGGTAGGTGGGGTAATCTATTTAATTGTGGTAAATCATACCATGCCCAAACTGCAACTTGGTGGAAGCGAATACGAATTTCTTCAGCCGTAAAATATCTAAATTGTAAGTATTTCTATAAAAGTGAAATTCCCCAATCCCTGTATTCTTGCTTAAGAGACGTGATCCTGTCTGTAATTACGTTTCGTCTTACATTTTTGTTACACTTATTTATCAATGTAAGTTAAATTATAATATTTACATTGGAGATCGGAGTTAAAATTGTCTTATCCTAGATGTGTCTCCTCCTTTTCGATTCCAGCACTCTATTTCTATGGGATTCTGAGAAGAAGAAATATTTCTGTTTTCTGTCCGTCTGTTTGTCTTCATGCAAATTTGAACCGTTAACGGTAGCCTAGTGATTCCACTTTGTGATCGGGAGGCCCGGGTTCTCTTTCGCCGCGACGCGTCAAACCCAAGACGTAAACATGGGTATGACTGTTCCTTCGCCATTAGATGTGAAAGTCAGTGGATTTCGGATCCGAGGTCCCGTTTCACGGTAGATGTTGGCAAGATAAAGAACCCTCACTACTCAATGGTTCTGAGTGCCAAATATAGATCTAAATTTGAAGCCCTTCACAGATTTATAAATCTCTCTTTGAGTGAAAATTCTCGAATGAGACGTAAATCAACATACAATCAATCAATCATTGAAATTTGAACAGATCATATCCTCCAACCCTCTACTGAAGTGGGTTCAATTTTGGTATGTTGCTGCCTATAATCAAAATGTATGTCATGATCTTGACTTATAATCATACCCTGAATGTCAAACCCTTTTGCATTGTGTCTGGGCTTTAACTCTAGGAGACTTGATCGAAATAAATTAAAACTTAAAACAAATTGTTATTGAGGACCCAAAGTTTGGTACTGTCAAAAATCAAGGTCTTGTGTCGAAAGTAAAGGTTACCAGAGATTCGTGAAATCGTAGCGTTATCATATTCTTAAACCTTGATCTTGTCTCAAGTTCTAATATCAAGGTCAAGGTCCTCTTGTATTGGTAAGATGGAAAGGGAGTCATTTGGTTTTATCCTACCAATGCATTTTTATGCAAGTAAGAGACATAATGATCGCAGACTAATTTTTATTGCAGATTTTATTAAAACCTCACAATTAAAACACTTTGATCTCCATTTAGAACAAAAATTGAGATAGTTGATGTTTCAACACCATATTGTAAAAAGAATGATATGAAATTAATTAGTGAAATCAAACAGAACTTAAACCATAAGATACTCACATAAAAATGAACATAAAAGAAAAGTAGTACTGAAATGAGTTTCACTTCTTTTGCATTTTTAGATACATGTAAGTACATTTCTATCCTGCAGCTCTTGTTGGACCTAAGGTTACAAAATCTACTCGAGAGATGCTTGATAGACTTGAGGATAGCTACGTTCTTCTATCGTCAGTAAATTACAGTAATACATTTATCTGGGTTCACACTATGGACGCCGTCAGTATAGAAATTCCGCTTTCAATAAAAAGCCATCGATGTCTCCATTACAGCTACTTTATATTTGGTCCTCGTGCCGTCCTTGTTGTTGCCTACCTAACTAACTATCTAGAACCTTATTATCTTTGGGATTTTTTAAACGTACATGATAAGAGTCCAGAGATCAAGTTTAGCAGAGCTTCCGCGACACTTCCCCTTGGAACTAACTTTAAGGTATGGAAAAGTGCCTAATTAAAGGTCTTTCGATTGAATTAATGCGACTTCTTTGCGTTTTAGTAAACTTTTTATATCTATGAGAATATATATGCAGGGAAAACTGTTGTAACTACTTATTTTTACTAATACTTATGAGGACTTTTAGGAAATTAAAAATATATATAAAGATGAGCAGGTGAGTTTCAGATTCAAAATGTAGAACATCTTTTCATGCCCATATTATAAAATAATATGTGTTTCATATTTAACAGGTGGTTTTTCGAGCATACTTTGATTTTTGGCCACGAACTACTTCTTTTGTCCTTCTCGACAATATTTCTATAACAGAAGGAATTTGCAGTAAGTAAAAATAGGTATCATAGATTATGGACAACTTTTATCATCAATATGATATATAAAGATAACGAACAGTAATCATGCGCAAAAGTCTATTTAAACAATAAAAATCGTGAGAAGAGCCAACACAGATTTCAGAAATCAGAGATGGGATCAGGTTCCATTGAAAAAAACATCCCCTGTCGACCGGTCACATTATGTGCCCGTTGTCATGGTCCTCTTAAAACATAAACAAGCTATCATCCAGTTTTCATATTGTATTCTCTTTCCTACAGAAGACAAATCTTTAAGCATTAATCCAAATGAAAAAGCTTTCACTTTATTAATATTTTTATATTAGAGATAGAAGTCTTATGGATAGCATTTGTATATTTCAGAGACATGCAGTCCTGATGAATTCAGATGCAGTGATAAACGGGATGAATGTATCCCACTAGATAAAGTTTGTGATCTGAAGTCTGACTGTCTGAAAGGAGAGGATGAGGCGCATTGTGGTGAATAATTGAACAGAGTTTTTGCTTTTTGCCCATTTCTTTAGCAGGAACGACGTGTTATTTGAGAATTTATAATGTATCTGATACAATGATTTAATGAAACATATTAAAACTTTTGCTTAAAAAAAATGGCAATGTCAAATTGAAGACGGTTATCATTATTTTTTTAGTAGACCTGAGTATATTAGGTAAAATGCGTAACAGTACTGAAGCATGTTGCTTATGTGTAAACTTGAAGATGTCTTACAATAGTAATTATAAATAAATCATTGAAGCATAAGAACAAAGCAATTTTGAGAACTTTTTCTCAATCTCTTGTGAGCACTTGAAACCAAACTTTCCATTTTTCTGTTCTTATTTCTCTCCCAAGATTTCTATAGTTGAGTTTTCTAATAAATACTTATATAATGTAAATTGCTTTTTTTAATTTCAGAGAAGAATATCAGTAAATCCCTATGCAGACAAGACCAGGCACTGACGTTTCAGAATTTATCCAGACGTCATGAGGTGGAGCAGACACAATATACCCCTGCAGCAAATATTTGCATTGATTGGGAACAATGCCACTTGAATTCTTCGAGCACCTGTTTTCTATATTGCCCTGTTAATTGTTCCTGTATTGATTTATCTGTTAATTGTTCGTCTGCAAATGCCCCAGTTTATGCTACCTCTATATCTTTTTATGGTTTACTGCATGAAAATCTAGTTATAAGTGAGAGTCTGTTTCCTAACCTCAAACGAATTATCATTACTAATTCTATAATTGATTCATTTAATATTAGCAAAGAACATTAAGAAACAATGATTATCCAAAACAGTAAGATTGAAAACATTTTCTTTCATAAAAATTCCTTCCGTTACATTAATATCAACGAATCTTCATTTGAAAACGTGTACTTTTTTCATTATTATAAAAGGTATATCTTTGATGTATTAGAATTTTACGTATACAAAAGTTACTTAAACAACAAATTTGATTTCTTTGTTCCCTATTATTTATGGAAAAAATTTACATTTGAATCCCATGTTCAAACAAGTTCATTGAATAATACGGACTCTAAAATATATGAGGGAAAGGGCGTTCATATAAAAATGGTGGAAACACATGGATTTCATCAGATGTTCGAGAAACTTAGTTATACTGTGGTTAATTTTAGTAACTGTTATTTGACTGATCAACCAGCTTCATACTATGAAACATTTACACTTGATTTAAGCCACAATCGTTTAACAGCATGGCATATTCTGTCTTTAATTCAAATTTTACATCTTCAGCATAATTTGATAGTCTCGATAAATTACACCATTGACCTTGGGTTATCCGATGCTCAACTTCATTATCTTGATTTATCGTATAATAAGATTGAAAGAATAGCCAATAATGATTTAGCTGTATTAAACAACCTTATGTATCTGAAACTTCAACACAACTTTATAAGTTATCTTCATCCAAGAGCATTTTTAAAATTATCTGAGCTTATATATTTAGATTTATCAAATAATCAACTTAGTGATTTGAAACGCAGTCATTTTATTCATCTTTTAAATCTTCGCTATCTTTATCTTCAAAACAATAAACTAAGGGTAATAGAAGGAATGTTTGATGGTCTCATGAATATTCAGTATCTGCAGGTCGATTCCTACACCCTTTGTTGTGCACAACCAAAGGCTGTCAGTAAAATTCAGTGTTTGGCACCCGTGAACAAAATCTCCTCCTGCAACGATTTAATAGACACCCCTCTCCTAAGTATAGCAATATGGTACATTGCCCTTCTAGGTGTCTGTGGAAATTTATTTGGAACATGCCATAAATTACTCTTGCTGAATAAGAATTCAAGTACAAGTAAACCGTTTGATATTCTTTCTATAAATCTTGGTTTCGCAGACTTTCTAATGGGTGTGTATCTTTACATCATAGCAGGAGCTAATTTAAAATTCAGCGACCGCTATGGTTTTGAAGATTTCTCGTGGAGAAATAGTCCTTTATGTACTTTTGCTGGTGTTTTAGCTACTCTTTCTAGTGAGGCTTCCGCTCTCTTTGTACTTTTTATCACCATTGACAGAATTTTGGTCATTCGATTTCCATTTGCGATGCTAAATAAGAAAATTAAGATTGCAAAGACCGTTTCCGTGTTAGTATGGACAGTTTCTTTTCTGCTGTCATTGCTTCCCTTATTTGGGATTGAGTACTTTGATGGTTATTACTCCGGTTCTGGAGTGTGTATCTCTTTACCTCTATCAGTTCTTCGGAAACCTGGATGGGAATATTCTATGGTTCTCTTCGTGGGGGCAAACTTTGTCATCTTTATCATTGTTCTTCTTGGGCAAATTTTCATATTAACGGATGTTGTTCGGTTTGAAAAGAAATCGTGCCAACAATCATTTTCCCAAAAAAGAACAGAAATAAAACTAGCAAAATCCCTAATGGCTGTTGCAGTTACAGATGTGCTGTGTTGGATTACGATTGGGACTATAGGTAAGAAAAAATATATTTTTATACAGGTAAAATATCATTCATATACATCCATTTACCGTATAAAAATAGCAACATATGGCGTTTAACAGTTTGTTTAACGTATATTTATAGACTTCACCAGTATGGCCAAATTTAATTACTTGAACTTAAAAAAAATCATACATTTTTTTTTAAAATTAAAAATGTATGTTCACAATTTGGTATAAATCATAATTTGTTTGTTTGTTATTATTGTTGAACGTCCCTCTCGAGAATTTTTCACTCATATGGAGACGCCACCACTTGCCGGTTGAGAGCTGCAAATTTTGACCTATACTCGGCACTCAGGGCCTTTGAGCAGTGAGGTATCTTTTTCGTGCCAGCACCTACTGCGACACGGGACCTCGGTTTATACGGTCTCATCCGAAGGACCGGTCTCCACGTCCTACAGTGGGATTCGAACCCGCGACGTAAGGATCAACTCCCTACTCCGCGACTCTAGAGCGAACGCTCTAACCACTCCGCCACGCGGGCGACGTATAAATTAAAAAGGAAAAAAAAATTAAAAAAATTATTTCAAGACAATTTGAACTTTTTTTTTGCTATCATCAAAATTGATGAAGTTTAAGCGCTGAAATGGACTCTAATTCCTCATTATCTCTTTTTTTTCTTTATTTCATTTCAATTTTAAAAAAAAATGATTCATCTAACTTGTAGGGTTTCTGACATTTATGGGAATTGACGTCACGAATAAGGTGTACGCTTGGGTAATTGTCGTAGTTCTCCCTATAAACTCGGCACTTAATCCCCTTATCTACCTGTTGTCTGTGATATTGAACCGTGGTAATGAACAGGTATGTAGTTCTAAAACTGATAAACAGGTACAAAGTTCTAAATATAGTGACTGTCGTAGTTCTTCCTGTAAATCTTATCTACCTGCTGGTTGTGATTTTGAACCGTAATGATGAATTACAGATATGTTTTAAAATAATTCTCTTCCGTCTCCATTGAACATGTATTTCCATTATTTTTTTTTTTTTTTTTTTTTTTGATAAATAAATAAACATTTTTACAGAAATCTTCATTGACATCAAGCTTTACAAGTAACACGAAAACAAAGGGCGGAATGAACAAGTATCAGGTATTTCCTTTTTTATTTTTCAAATGTTTGCAACTGTTTTCACTGAATGTCTTTTCAAGCAATGATATTCTTGTCTCTTTTTTTCTCAGGTATCACAATCAGGTGGAAGAGGAACCAATTTTGTTAAACCATGGATCCAAAATGATGAAAAACAAAGGAAATCGAACATACAAATCATTACTTTGCAACGTTTAAAATTCGAATAAGTTTTTCTTTCCTTGACTATGCTTAAATAAAAAAAAAGTGTTTTCATTTAGTAAGATGATATGATCCGTTCTTTGATTATGTTTTGATGTTAAAAAAAAACCCAATTATTTTCTTTTTGTTTTATATAGAAGAAATAAAGAAGAAAATAATACTGTATATACTACAATATTTGTCAATTATACATGTACATGTAATTCACGATCTCACTAGAAGGTCTTGGCATTTTCATGCCCCCGTAATTAAAGATTCGGGGTATTAAGTTTTTGCCCTGTCCGTCCATCTGACTGCCTGCTTGCCGGTGTAAAGACGAATAATGACCCCCGTAGAATAATGACCGGGGGGTCATCGAAAAATGACTCCCTAGCCGTAGAAAAAATTAATTTTTTGTAGAAAAAGAACCCTAGGGGTCAGTTTTTTATATGTGCAACCTATAAGAAATTGACCCCCGTTGAAAAATGACCCCTATCGGAACAGATTGATACAAAGTTCAAAAAAGATGATCGATGCCAAGGTTTGGATTCTCTTGCGTTTTTTCTGATTACATGTAATACTAGACGAACACGCAATTAAAATTTGTTTGAAAACATTGCACATGTTTCTTTCTATTAGACCTATTGTGTAAGCCCAAAATCAAAATTGCACAATAGATACGTCACAGTGGCTATTGGTAAAAGGAAAGTCAGGACGATATATTGTTATCGCCAGACCTATTATTTTGTCTGAACATTTTCTCGGACATGACTTTGATAAACTTAATAAAACGTCAGAAAATGACGATCATAAATAGTTACTCTAGATGTTCATTAAACATTTTGATTTTTAAAACTGACCACCGTTGTCATGGGGGAAAAATTGTCAACTAATATTTTCACGGTTGGCTTGTTAAATCTTTGTGAAACTTCACAAATGCGTTAATATTTACATGTAAGATTTTTAAAACTGTTTCCATTGCCGTGGAAACGATTGGACAAACTTTTTCTCACAACGAACGAGTGAATTAACGCGCAGAGGTACAAAACTTTCGTTACAGGATCATTTATGGATCATTGTGTATTTCTATTGTATGAGGCACAGCAGTGGTATTTATTGCCATTTAGTAATATCACCTATTCGAATAGGTGATATCACCTGTTTGCAAAGGTGATATCACTCATTCAAATGGAATAGGTGATATCATCTATTCGAATAGTTGATATCACTTTTTGAATTGGTGATATCACCTATTGGAAATGATTAGGTGATATCACCTATTGGAATAAGTGATATAATCTTTTTGAGTTGAATAGGTGATATCACCTATTTGAATTGGTGATATCACCTTTTTTGTTTTGAATTGGTTATATCACGAATTTGAATTAGTTATATGACTTATTTGCGTTTTTATAGCATTAAATGAATGCGAAAAACAAGACAATCTAGCTTCAATGCAAAGTAAAGGATGAACATCCAAAACGCCTTCAAAGAGCAGTTTTATTTCCTTAGCAGTGATTCAAAATTGATGAAATTGATTTCATTGCTCTTGCACAAACTTTTACAAAAAGATAATAAAGTTTCTATGGACTTACTTCACTTAATTTGAGACAAACCCTCTAGTATGTCGGCATTGCTTTGATCAAATAAACTGTATATTCTCTGTAAGATCATTTATTTGGCACAAAGAGGAGAGGGGACACTGTTTTTAAGTTACAATGTATATAAGAAAGACCATAAAATAACCTGTTTGCATATGAAAAACTAGATTTCTATTGAACATAAGCAAATTCGGGCTGTCCTTTTCCCCTGCGTTATAGTCCAAGGCATTTGAAACGCCATTTGTTTTCAGTTCCTGTGAAGTTATATAAATTTCACTTGCAATCAGTTTTGCTATATTTACTGATACTTTCTCTCTGTTATATTATCTAAGTGAAAAGCGACTGAACTTTTTACTTCCTGTTTAGAGTAAATGAATGCACTTAATTCAATCTTGGGAGCAGTTGTTATTTCATACTTAAAGAAGGGGATATCACAAATTCAAAAGCTAAAAAGGTGATATCACACATTCGAATAGGTGATATCACTTAATGGCGGTAAATACCAAAACGGTCCCTCATACTATTGCGTGCAATAGCATACATTCTAGTCTTGATCCTTTTTATCATTTGTTTCATATTTCGATATTTTACTGATTATAGACGTTTATGGCCAATTAACAAACGGGTTGACTTTAGATTGATTGATTGTATGTTGTTTTACGTCCAATTCGAGAATTTTTTGCTGATATAGAGACGTCACCATATACCGGTGAAGGACCTCAAACTTAAACCTTTACTCGGCACTCAGGGCCATTGAGCAGTGAGGGATCTTTATTGTGCTAACGCCTGTCGTGACACGGGGCCTCGGTTTTTAAGGTCTCATCCGAAGGACCTGCAACTTTCACTTTAAAGTGCCAAGCGCCTGGCGAAGGAACAGTTGCTACGCATTTTTTTTTATCGACTCAGGTCAGTCGCGACCTAGATTCGAACTCACGGCGAGCGCTTTACCGACTGAGCTACCGTGACGGAGGTTACTTCATAAGTCTCTAAAAAGTAATTCTTCTTATTTTAAAAAGTGTAAGGCACTTTTGCTACATGTCCGAAAATTACATGTATGTGCACTATTTAAATCATTGGCTTAAAAAGGCATTCGGAATTAACTTAATTAACCGGTAGATAGACATTGTAAACATCTCTCTCCCTCTCTCTGCACTCTGGATAGTATAAGTCTCTCTCTCTCTCTCTCTCTCTGGACTCTGGATAGTATAACGAAAAGTTTTTTTAAATAATGATACATAAGTCAATCAGAATGAAAGCATTTCTACATAAGGTACATTGTCACTTCCCCGTACAATACATTTGAAAGATTAAATGAGATCGTCACTATATCTTCAATTTACCTCAGGTGAGCATTTTGATCCATGGCCCTCTTGATTCATGGTTCTTAATTTTTTCAATCCAAAAAATATATTTCTGATCAAATCTACTAGGGGTCATTATTCTACGGGGGTCATTTTTCTTCACGTAGGGTATGCAGATTTTAAGGGTGATGCCACTTTTTCTACGGGCGAAAGGGTCATTTTTCTACGTCGAATAATGACCGGGGGTCATTTTTCTACGTCGAATAATGACCGGGAGTCATTTTTGGATGTCGGAAAATGACCCCCGGTCATAATTCTACGGGGGTCATTATTCGTCTTTACACCGGCTTGTCCGCAAAACTTTAACCTTGCTTATAACTTTTGATTGGTTGGAGCTATGTCTTTCATATTTCACATCTGTATTTCTTTTGACAAGACCTTTCTTTGAATACCAACGTATTGACCTCTTGACCTTGGAGTTCAAACCACTATTGAAAAAAAAACAAGATGTGTTTGTGACACACTGATGCCTTTGTATGATAGCTTATGGCGAAGGTTAAAGTTTCTCAAATGCAAGTCAATCTCCAAGGTCAAGAGAAAATGTTGTTACCCAAAGAAAGGACTTGTCTCAATGAATATACCTGTGAAATATGATATCCGAAACATCAGCCATTCAAAGGTTATGCCCAAGGTTAAACTTTTTTAAATATGAGTCAAACTCCAAGGTAAATGTCAAAGGGTCAAATTAATGGTAACTAGGGAAAGGCATTGTCATAAGAAATATACAGGTGAAATGTAAATGCCCTTGCACCAATCATTCAAAGGCCAAGGTTAAAGTTTTTCAGATGTAAGTCAAACTCCAAGGTCAAGGGTAAAAGATCAAAATTGTTGGTATCCAAAGGAAGGTATTGTCACAGGAAATTCACCTGTGATATTGAATTGTCTTTTGCTAACTGTTGAAAAGTTATGGCCAATGTTTAAGTATTTTAATTTTTTGCAAGATGGGGTCAAAATCCAATGTCAAGAGGTTAGATATGTTTGTATCCAAAGAAATGTCTTGTCACAAGGAATACACATGTGAAATATGAAAGCCATAGCACCAACAACTGTTCAGAAGTGATGGTCAAGGTTAAAGTTTTTTGCGGACAAACGGACAGACAGGGCAAAAACTATATACCCCCGAATCTTCGATTACGGGGGGTAAAAATAACAAACATTTACCTTGGCAATAAATTTTGAACATTTAGATCTAAGGCTTTCATTTTTCAAATGTGTACTCATTGTGACAAGACCTTCCCTTGGGTATGAAGATGTTTGTCCTATTGACCTTGACCCCAAGCAAGACCATGGCTAAAATCATCATCAGAAGGATATCCATAGCTGTAGATGTCAAACTGCGTAAAGAACAAGCAGGATTTAGACCAGATAAACACCAAAAAAACAGAGGTCATGACCCTAAATGTAAACAACCCACAAGCGGTCAAAGTGGAAAATCACATCCTTCCATGCACCAACACCTTTACATACTTGGGTAGCAAAGTAACAACAGATGGTGGAGCAGAGACTGACATCAGAGAGAGACTATCCAAGGCAAGAGCAGCATTTAACAACCTACATACTGTTTGGAGATTAAGTCAGTACACAAGAACAAAGCTGAAACTATACAAAAGCTGCATTCTACCTATCCTTTTGTATGGATCAGAGTGTTGGAGAATGACAGAGAGCGACCTAAACAAGCTGTC